GTCTCTGCAGCCGGCGTCCCTCCGCCCACCCGCGCCAGCTGGCCTCCCGCAACCCCACCTGCACCCCTGCCTGAGCGCTCCCGCCCCTGCCACCCAGCCCGGCCCCACGCCTCCGCAGCCTACCCCTCGACTCTGCTCCCTGGGGGCCTGAGTCCCCGCTGCACCCCGCCCGGTCAGTGACCCGCTGCGCTCCCCAGGCCAAGTGTTCTTCGTGCCCGGGCGGCTGACGCTGTCTGAAGCCCACGCGGCGTGCCGGCGGCGCGGGGCCGTGGTGGCCAAGGTCGGGCACCTCTACGCCGCCTGGAAGTTCTCGGGGCTGGACCAGTGCGACGGCGGCTGGCTGGCGGATGGCAGCGTGCGCTTCCCCATCACCACGCCGCGGCCGCGCTGCGGGGGCCTCCCTGATCCCGGAGTGCGCAGCTTCGGCTTCCCGCAGCCCCAGCAGGCCAGCTATGGGACCTACTGCTACTCTGAGTAGGGGCCCGCCGCACACCCTCAACGCGCGCGACGAAGCCTGGGAGGCCTGGTGGGAGGTTCTTGCCGCCCCTTTCTCTCGAGCCTCTCCTCCCGCCAGGTGAGGGGCAGCCCCTCCTGACCCGCCTTCCTGGCCGTGGGCTGCGCACGCGGATCCCGCTGGTCGGGTGTCGGGACGGAGGGAAGGTGGTGGCGTCCCCGGTGGCGGGGTGCAGCTACGACCCTCGGACCTGAGGATCGAGGCCCCGTGGCTGTTCGCGTGCCCCAGCAGACGACTCAGCCACTGCTAGGGGGCGGGAGGGGCGCCCAGGGGGCATTAACTGACCTCTGTATACAGCCATAAAATAAAGGGAAGTTTTTGTGTTGGGCGAAGCTGTAAGCGTGGCGAGGAGTCGGGGTGAGGAGGATGAACTCCGACAAAGCTTGCAGATTGCGCTTAGGAGGGGCTCCTGCCTGCTGGAGAGGGGATGGTGAGGGAAGAGCACCCGAAGGGCGAAGGAGAGTTGGAGACGCCGGGGACAGCCTGACTGGGCGGAGACCCAGAGAACCCAGGGTGTTGCGCCAACCACCACCAGGGGGAGCCACAAACCCACCTAAGATTACTTCAAATCTGCCAGGAGCGCTCCCACCTCCAGGCCTACACGCCGGTCACCACAGAACAAATATAAGAGCTACCTAAAAATATTTCTAAATCTGTTTGTATCCTGCCAGTCTCCCAGAAGGGTTTTCAGGACTACTATTAAAGGAAGGAAAATTATACCATTGTTACAACTAACGGGCAATTAACCCTATGGAAGGAGGAGGCGGCATGAACACCACACCAGCATGGCCCCACAGGGTGATACTTGGTGTTATTGGTCGTCTGGTTTAGCGCTCACCACCACCGTGGCCTCCAGGGAAAGGGGCCAGCTGGACCAGGAGCACTCTTAACATCCGGCTAAAGGAAACATACCAGTAACTCAGCATACAAACTCGAATGTCATTAATTTGTTTTTCACATAGATCATTTTTTTGTTGTTTACTGTTAATGCAATCTAACTGCACCACAAAAGCCTGCTCTATTGAACAGTAATGACTGGAGCAAAGGGTATGAACCTTCTAATGGCGCTTGACATATGTAAAATTGCACCCCAAGAGGGTTCTTGCTATCATTGTTAAAGAGAATTTATCCCATAGGATTTTGTGTAAGGGACAGAGAATGATCGAATGAATAGCATCTTCAATAACCCTCAGCAAATGAAATATTTGTTCCAGGTCCTAAGCTTTATTTCTCCTGTCTTGGTCATTGAATATATGTGCCTCCCAAGTTTGCTGTGAGCAGAATTGAGACAATGCATGTACAGGGTAGTACATGCCAGCTATAAATAAGAGGCACTCAGTAAGTGATACATATAATAATAATAATAATAGAACAATTATTATTCGGGTTCTTAGCAGGTAGTTTATAGGATTGGTTGCTGTATGGTATTGTGTTAGTCAGGACAAGCTAAATTATGCTGTGATAACAAACCTCAAATCTCAGTGGCTTAAAATAACAAAGATTTATTTCTCACTCAGGCTACATGTGCATTGTGGTCAACAAGGGGATGGCTCTTCTCATTTTAGTTATTCAGGGACCCAGGCTGATAGAGCAGTCACCATCTCAGATGCTGTCAGTCACTATGCCAGAAGTAAAAAATAAAAAGCTCTGGAGGCTCTTACACAGCCAATTAATGGCTGCAGCCCAGAGAGACACCTGTCACTTCTGTTCACAACTCAGTTTTCCAGAACTAATTACATGGCCCCACTCAACCACAAGGGGGCAGGAAAGAACAGTCACCTTGGCCTAGAAGCACAATTGGAACTATTTGGTGGCAGCAGCAGTACCCACGTCTACCACAAGCACCAAGGAGGGCAGTATAGATTCTAGGACGCATTGCTGTTCCCCTATTACCCCACCGCTCTTCTGAGTCCTCTAAGTTGTGGCCTATTATGGAGTCAAGAGCCCAGAAAGCCACTATCCTTGGTCCAGCAGCTCAGCCCACAGGCAGAGATGGCTTTTCTTTAGAATAATGCCTTCAGGCTTTGTCAAGAGAAATGGTCATGGCAGGAGCTTCCCATTTGATGCAAATTTTTGTTTCTTTACCCATAAAAACACATGATCACTAATTCTTACACATTGCTATTTATTATGGGGAATTTCAAATGCACAGAAAGTAGAAGATGTAATGAACCACTTCATCAGCCAGCTTGGCCATTTCAAAATTCTGACCTTATTTCATCAATCCCTTTACCATGTTTGTTTTTGCTGGAGTATTTTATTTTATTATTTTTTTAAATCCTCACCAGAGGATACTTTATTCATAGATTTTCAGAGAAGGTGGAAGGGAGAGACAGAAAGAGAGAGAGAAACATCAATGTGAGAGAGACACATCGATTGGTTGCCTCCCACACACACCCCAGCTGGGGATCAAACCTGCAAGTCAGGTATGTGCCCTTGACCTGAAATCGAACCCATGGCCCTTCCATGAGTAGGCCGATGCTCTAACCACTGAGCCACACCTGCCAGGGCCACACAAAGACCCTTTTTAAAACAAGTGAACATTTACAGGTTTCAGGGATTTGGACACGGACATATCTTTTTGTGGCTGTCAATCAACTCATACAGCCGTTAACTTATGTAATGGCTGCTGACGATCATTGTCTAGAGCCATTATTTCACGAGGAGTACAAAATGGAGATGTTTTCCTTTTGTCATTCCTGCATTTATTAGCTATAATCTGTAATCATCTATAAAGAAAACTTTCCCTCATCAACTGTTTTGTTACCCTAACACGTATATAACCCACTCAAGAAATGTAGGCTTAATGCTTGTCTTCCACTTTTCTTAGGTAGGTACTATGGACTATATCTTGTGCTCTCCCCCCACCCCACCCCAAATTCATATGTTAAAACCCTAATACCCAATGCCATGGTATTTGGAGATGAGGCCTTTGGGAGGTAACTAGGCCCTGAGGGTGGAGCCCTCATGATGGGACTCCGGAGAGCTAGTTTCTTCTCTCTGCTCTCCACTAGGTGGGAATGCAATGAGAAGCTGCTTGCTGTCTGTCCCCCAGGAAGGGGCCCTCACCAGACACCAGATCTGCTGGCCCCCAGAACTGTGAGAAGTAAATGTTAGTGTTTAAGCCCCCCGTTCGTGGTAATTTGTTAGAGCAGCTCAAACTGACTGAGACAATGGGGTTCCTTAAAAGCAGGTGTCAAATCAAGACTTTGAGTACAAGGTCATGCTAAGAGGCACTGGCGGGGGAGTGCAGAACTGAGACAGGAAAGGGAAGGAGGCCATTGAAAGCTGTGTAATAGAGCAGGTGGAGCAACTGAGGCTCAGTCCTTTTGGGGAATTCTGGAAGATAGTGTAAAACCTGTCTCAGAGAATCCCACCCAAGGGGAAAAAGATCTAGGGTATTATTGGTAAACTTCCTGTTGGAAGGTTTGAGAGCTGCTTCTGGAAGCATTAACCCTCTAGTGTTCCTGGCTAGTCCTGAGCTCAAACATGTTCCCAAAGCCAGAAAAAAAAAAAGCCCTTAGACAGTCACAGATGTTCATTAAGAGTCTTTTGATATGGGCCGTATCTACAGTCTAGCCTTTGCAGTGCTCAGATCCACTTGTAGCCCCATGTTAAATTCATTTGTCCTGTCACTGGTTCTTCAACGTGGTGGCTAATTGCAATGTCTAATTCTTAAAAAAAAAAAGTCTTGCAACAGGAGGGCTCGTGGCACAGACTACAGTAACCATTGCTGCAGTTGGTTCCAAGGTTGTAATCAATATTCAACATCTCCCTCCTCTACAATTCATTCTGTTGGTCTCTTGGGTTTTCACAATGGAAAAACCCAGACCTTCATCCTTGAAGGCTTCAGCCTTTCATTTCCATGCCCTTGAGAGGCCAACATTGCAGCAACTGCCTGTTCATGATTACCATTGGACATGGGGTAATCAAGATCAAATGTCTTTGCCAATGTACTTTTTTTTTTTTTTTTTTT